CAAAGATAAAACTTCTTAAAAAGTCCCTATTTTTGTGAGAATTAAGTGAACTGGAAAAAAATTTTTTCTTTTAGATTTATTTATTCATTCGAAAGGCAGAGTTACAGAGAGAGGGAGAGACAGAGAGGTTGGCCTTCCACCCACTGGTTCACTCCCCAAATGGCTGCAACGAACGGAGCTGGGCCAATCCGAAACCAGGAGCCAGGAACGTCTTTCGGTACAGCGGCCCAAACACTTGGGCCATCTTCCACTGTTTCCAGGCTATAGCAGAGAGCTGGATCAGAGAGGAGCAGCCACGGACACGAACTGGTGCCCACATGCGACACCAGTGCCACAGGCGGAGGCTTAACCCACTACACAGCAGCGAGGTGTGGCGTGACTGTTTTACTGCAGAGGACAGCACACAGTAGCTTGCTGGATTCCAACCTAGATCCCTTCACCTGCAAAATCTGCTCTTAATGAAGACGCCCTATTGCCTTCCTACTGTGTGCCAACCAGGGAGCCCGTGGCAAGCTCGACTTCCTCTCCTCGCTGGGCTAGCAGCTGCTTGTGGGAGCCATCGGACTCATGGAAGACAAATGCTGCTTTGCCGTATGAGGCCACCACACACGGCGAGGCAAAAAGGACGACCAATTACCTATAGAGAGCACCTGAGGGGCGGTGTTGTGGTACAGTGGGTTAAGCCACTGCCTGCCACGCCAGCATCCAGACTGCTGGTGCTCTGCTTCCAATCCAGTCCGTGCTAAGCACTGGGGAAGACAGCAGAGGGTGGTCCGCGTGCCTGGGCCCCCAGCTCCAGGCAGGAAACCTGGGTGGAGCTCCTGGCGCCTGGCTTTGGCTTGCCCAGCACTGCTGTTGCAGTCATTTGGGAGCAACCAGCAGATGAGAAGACTGTCTCTCTCTCTTACTCTGACTGCCTTTGAAATAAAAGTCAATAAATCTCCCATTGTCAAACATGTACAGGTGCCGCCTCTGCCTCACTTCCCCAGGATGGTAGAGAACACAGGAAGATGGCAGATACAGGGGCCAGTGTGTGGCACAGTGGGTCAAGCTGCCTGTAATGCCAGCATCCCATGTGAGTGCCAGTTCCAGTCCCCAACTTCCCATCCAGCTCCCTGCTAATGCGTCTAGGAAGGGGGCAGAATGTCGACAAGTTCTTGGGCCCCTGCCGCCAACACTGAAGACCCCGATGGGTTCCTGGCTCCTGGCTTTGGCGGACCCTGCACTAGTTGTTGACACTATTTGGGGAGTGAACCAGTGGATGGAAGATCTCTCTAACTCTACCTTAGTTTCCTTACCTATAAAATAGGAATAAAAGAATCTATTGGGTTGTTCATTGAGGACTAATGAAGGTAATTCATATAAAGTGCTTAGAACAGCATCCTGGACTTGGCAAAAGCTCACTGTAATATTCACCCACCATTTTCCAGATGACGGGATCAGCTAACTTGCCACGGCCAAGCTAATGAGAGCGCCTCAAATGAAGGCCCAACTCCAAAGTCCCTCACGAAGGCCAAGGCCTTCTCGGCCCCCTTGTCTTTGTATCCCCATGAACCTGGACTCAGAGACCCAGTCCCTGTAGCAGCTGCATGACCTTGGAGAGGTTACTTTTTACAACTGCTGCAAGCTCAGTCTCTTTCTAAAAATAACAGTTCTGGCCTCATAAAATGGATCAAAGTACCACTGAAGAAACAGTGTTTACCGCAGAGCCTTGCAGCAAGTGCCCGTGCCTGTGAAGCTGCCTGGGTACTGCAGCCTTCCTCCAGTTCCTCACTCCTCAGCCCTTGCACCTGCATCTGTCCTCCTGTCAGGGTCACCAGCGACTCCCCACCGCCGGACCCAGTAGCGCACTCAGTCCCGACCGCAGGGGTCCACACTCTGGGAGGACAGACTTTCCCCTTAGTTCCCACGCGCCCCGCCTGTCCAGGTGTCTCCCCAGGTTCTGCAGTCTTCATGTTCTTTCCCGGGCTCCTTCTATCCTCTTTCTAGGCCATGGCTTCCCAACCGCGGTGCCGCTGACATCCCGGCGCGGTCATTGTGCGCGCGCGGCTGTCTGTGCTGCAGCTCCTGAGCACGCACCCCCCAGACGCAGCAGCATGCCCGCCCCACGCTGTGACACAGAGAGCTGCCCGGCGCAGGACAGAAGTGCTGCCCGCGGAGACACCCAGATGGCCTTCACTGGCGTGGTCACTGCTCTCTGGACTTCAGGCGCCATCCTAAGCCGTGGGGCGCTGCCCCGCCCTCACACCAGAGCTCTCTGCTGAGTTGCTGCCGGGCAGCTCAGGTCCCTCACTCTGCCTGTCCCAACTGAGCGCGTCCCCACCTCTGCATCTCATCATCCGCCTCCGTTCCCTGCCGACCCCCAAAGGTGAGTCTTTAATTCCGCCTTCCCTCTTCCCCTCAGCCAATCCCAGAGTGCACCTCCCGGCTGAGCCCGCCCCTCTCCGTCCCCACTGCCCTGCCCTGGCCCCAGCTCATCACCACCTCCGCAGCCTCCAGCCTCACTCCTCGCCTCGCCGGTCCTTCTCTCTGCACGCCCCTCCCTGCACTGCGGGCCCAGGAATGCCCTGCAGTTCCCGAGTTCTCTCACAACCTCGGGGCCTTTATAGCTGCTATTCTGTCTCCCCGGAGGTCTTCGCTGCTGCTTCCACTCGGCTCCCCAAGACGCTGGGGTCGATGAGCATTATGCTTCAAGAAGAAGCCACAAAACAACCCTGGCACTTGCAGACATTCCTACCCCACCCCGCTGTCAGGTGCCGCCATAGCTCTCTCCGGCTCCTCCAAGCAGGCACTCACGGCACCGCTCCTCACTGCCTGTGTGCTGTCCTCTCCCTCTAACTGGGAACTCTGGGAGAGCAAGCTTGACCCTGCTCACCTCTCGTTCCCCAGTGCCTGGACCAGGTAGGCACTCTGGGGGGTATCGGCTGCACTAAGATCTGGGCAGTGAACCAGCATAATCACCTGGCGTTCAGCATGAGTGAGGCTCACGTTCTTGGTGCCCCCGCGCTCACAGTCCCCGCGCGGAAGGACAGGGAGGCGCGCAAGCTGCCCCCAGTACAAGAACACCCCTTTCGTCATCAGAAGCAACTCTGGGCTTGCGCGAGGCTGTCCTTGGCTGCTGCTCCTAACTCGCCCCTCTCCCCGGTTCCCAAGTCCCCTTCAGCCTACTGTTACTGAGGAGGAGGTTCAGTCAAGACAGCATCGTGGGTCTCCCTTCATGTCACAAACTAGAGAATACTGGGCGTCCTTTTCTTCCCAGCCAAGGCCTGGCAAACTCCTATCCAACCTTTGAAGCCCACCGGAATCATCACTTGCTTAATGCAGTCCTCCCAGAACCCCAAGGGCTCACCTCAGATCCCACACGCTCTGTAGCGGCTGATCCCGCCATCTCTGTGCCTGTGGACTGACTACTGAACCAGACTGTGCGCTCCTCCAGGGAAGGGACAAGTCACCCCAGCATCTTCAACATCTGCTGTGTGCGGGCCTTGGAGGGGAGGGGAGGGTGTGCCCAAGCAGGAATAGCATACACTTGGACATAGAGGTTAAGAGCTTTGGGGGCTGGCGCTGTGGCGTAGCAGGTAAGGCTGCCGCTTACAGTGCCAGCATCCCATATGGGCACCGGTTCGAGTCCTGGATGCTCCACTTTCAATTTGGCTTTCCGCTGTGGCCTGGGAAAGCAGTAGAAGATGGCCCAAGTCCTTGGGCCCCTGCACCCACATGGGAAATCCGGAAGGAGCTCCTGGCTCCTGGCTTCGGATCAGCTCAGCTCCAGCCATTGTGGCCAGTTGGGAAGTGAACCAGAGAATGAAAGACACCCCTCTCTCTCTCTCTATATATATATATGGCTCTTTCAAATAAATAAAATAAATCTTAAAAAAATAAAAGGTTAAGAGTGGAGCTTCTAGAATCAAAGTGCCTGAGGGTGAATTCGGGCCCCAACATTTACTGGTGGTGTCTCCCCCACTTTCCCTCGTATCTAAAACAGGGACAGTAACAGCAACGGCCTCCCGGCTCTGTGTGCCCAGGAATGGTTCATCACCATAAAATGCCTGGAGCTGCGCCTGGCACCAAGCAAGGGCTCACGAGGTGTGAGGCATCCTCCCACACGTCTTTGTTTCCCCAGGGGCCTAACAGCGAGGGACTGAGAAATAAATGAGTAGAGCGCCCACTCGGCCACGACCACTGCCAGGGCTCCGTCTACAGGAACAGGGCAGACGTGCAGGTCACTGAATCCTCGCATCCAAGGTTCCAAACGTCCTAACTTGCCTTTTCAACCCCAAAACAGCTTTCACTTCCACGGCTCCGAGCGAACCCAGACAGTCCCTTGCTCCCCTGCTCTGGGATCGCTGCGAACCCCAAGCTGTCAACTCCCACGCAGCCGCGGCCGGGGCTGGACCTCGCCAGAGACCTCCCCGCATCCAATCACCGCCTCACACCCACAGCCCTTCCCCTCGCCCGACCCCAGCTCCCTCCTTCCTGTCCCCACGGCTGGTGTTAGTCGCTTTCTCCCGATCACTCCAGTAATCTCCAAAAACGGATCACCGGTCCCCATTTCACTGAAGCTCCAAAGGGAAGAGGGCGGAGGGCTCCAACCCAGCGCTGGGACCGGGGCCAGGCCTCCGCCTCCTGACCCGAGCGCAGAGCAGGAAAGAGCGAGGCGGGCCGGCCAAGTCGCCACCCGCACACTCCCGCGTCCCTTCTCCCCGGCACTCCGCGCAGCCACGACGACTCCAAAGCGTTACCGCGCGGGGCTCCAGGTTTCAGTGGCCGACCTCGTCCAGGGCCGGCCTGCCGTACCTGAGGTCGCCGCCATCCCGCGCCGCCTCTGCTGCGCCGAGGCCCCCGCGTCCATTCCACTCCCTCCCTCGTCCCGCCTCTCCCATTCGAATTCTCCGGTGCCCCGCCCATCGCCTCGGCCCCACCAATCACAGCTTCTCTCCGCCGGAAGCCCCTGCTCCGACTCGCTCCTCTGCCGCCCTCTGGACCGCGCTTCCGGGTCCCTCGGGAAAAAGCGTCCCCTGTTGGAGGGCGCATGCGCGCGCCATTAGCCGCGCAGCCGTTGACGTCGGCACGAAGCCGGGCGCTCGGGGCGTCGCGTCCCGTGGTAGTTGGGGACAGCTGTCGTTCGCCGCGGGTCTGGGGTTCCTCTCATCTTCCGGCATTGGCGTGTCCCGGCTCTTCGCCGTAAGTGTTCCCTCTGAGCTACGAATTGTGCGAATCAAGCTGATAGAATCAAGCCGATTCGTCTAAAAGGTCTTTTTTTCCTGAGGGGATTTTCGGTTTTCCTGAGGGGAGCTTATACGAATAAGGAAGCTGCTGCCTGGACGCGGGCGGGCTCTGAGCGACCGGTATAGTGATGCTGGCCCTCTTCCTCGGTTTGAAAGGAGCCAAGAGCCACCATAAAAAAAATGGGGCTCCTGAGACAAACCGTTCCAGAGACGGCCTTGGGAAATGGGGAGTAAACCGGTTCACAGAGAAAGCAGTCAGCTACTAACCAGAGATACACAGAACACCTGCCTTGTAGATAAGCCCCTTCCCTACGCTTGCTCAAGGTTAACAAAGAAAGCTGCAAGGCACGTAGCAACCTATTCCTCTCTCCTAGAGACCCCCTCCCCTAATGTATCCCTTTGACCTAGTACTTTTCCACCGACATTACCACTTTTAGACTGCCATACAAGGCCTGCTACTGAAAATTATCCAATAAACTTACGCCAGCCTATAATATGTTAATTTTGTGGTTTTGCCCTTTAAAAGCTGTGTGAGATAGCTGCTCGGGGCTCCTCTCGCTTGCTTGCTGCTTGCAGCAGTAGAGGGCCCATTTGTACAAATGAAATAAATTACCTCCTGTTCTATTGCATCGTCTGGTCCGGAGTCTGTGTTTCTGGGGTCGTCACAAGAGGACACCGCTTTTGGGGTCCTACATATGGGGGCTCGTCCAGGATTTGGGGGACCCCAGACTCCCACACTCCATCGGCCAGACGGAGGTAAGTTTGCTTATTTGTGTATTGTTGTAACTGTGGTTTGTACTGTTTGTCCTTGTCTGCCAGGACGACGTGGAATCCGTCCTGGGGCGCCTGTACAGGCTCAGTACTGACTGGACCAAAGGGGGAGACAGACGTGTCGTGAGGCCCCTGGTCCAACCCTGGAGGACGCTCCAGTGGTGGTCTGGGAAGGAGGGAAAGAGAGCGTTTCCCTTCTTCAAAGGGAGAGCCTGGCCAAACGGCCGCTCCCTTCTGAAATTCTGGGTTTGGTTTTGTCTCGGTCTGTTGCTGCGCGGCTTGTGATTTCAGACGTGTCCTGAGACCCCTGGTTCAACCCTGGAGAATGCTCCGGTGGTGGTCTGGGAAGGAGGGAAAGAGGGAATTTCCTTTCTTCCAGGGGAGAGCCTGGCTAGACTGCCGCTCCCTTCTGATAGTTTCGGTTTTGTCTCGGTCTGTTGCCGCGCGGCTTGTGATTTGTGTTCTGTGTGTCACTGTTTTTGTTGTCTTTTATCTCTTACTGTCTCCCCCATCTGTTTTTATTGTTGTGTTTGATTGCTAGATGTATACTTATATGAAAAATGTGTATTGTATTCTTATAATGTGTTAATTATGTCTACCTCTCAATGCAACTCTAGGGCCAAATGTAAGGACAAATTTTTGGGCTGGAGAGGCTTGTACCTAGATTTGGCTCTGGTAACCAAGAAACTTTGCTGCCGGATGACTTTCTCCTGCTCCTTGGGAGCCTGGCCAGTTCCCGGGGAGGAGGATAAAGGAATGTTTTCTGATAAACAGGTGGGCATGCTTCATGTCTCGGCTCTCTGGCCAAGACCCGAGATGGGACGCACTGCTTGCCTAAAATCTTGGCAATGAGCCACCCTTGTCCTTGGAGGCTTTAGGGGGGAGCCGGAGCAAGCCTCTGTTGCTGCTGTTTCATCCTGGGGGAACACACAGTCAAGCTAAATGTTAAATGTGCCCGTAATGATTACATGATCAATTGGCTACTGTGATTGAGGTGTTCTGTGACAGTCCCTTTAATGAAAAATTAACAAAATGAATTAATAACAGGACATTCAGGACCTGACGCTCTGCTTGGTATGTCATTACAAAAATCATCAAGGAGGGCTATGCCTGATAAATGAGGGTGCTATAAATGTGGGCAACAGGGACATGTACAAAAATTGTCCAGAAGTCAAAAATCAAAATAAGGCTCTTCCTGGGATTTGCTTCCAGTGCTAAAGGGAAAGGCATTGGGCCAATAAGTGTCACTCCAAAACTGATAAAGAAGGTAATTCATTAAAAAACAGAGTTCAGGAAACTGGAAGCGGGGCCAGCCTCAGGCCCTCCCTACAGGGATCAGTGGACCATCTTGCTATAGTATCATTAAAGCAATGGAGCCATGTTTATTGCAACATTCTGTTAATCTATGCTCCTTTACCATCTTTCCTGTAAATAATTTTAGTGTGCACTACAAGGCTTGCAGCGTATTTCTTGCAGATTAAAAGTAACTAAGTCTGTACACAGCAGACAGCTAAAAAGTAATTTACTGTCACAAATTGGCGTAGTTGGCAGGATCTGCAAGTATGCAAAGCAATGCCTTTCTTTAAAAGAAAAACTAAAGTTGCATGTGTAACCTGTGATGTTCCTGGCTGGAAAGACCTTCAGTTCGCCTCTTTGGTGAAGGAATGGGCTCTCTGCTCAGAATCGAGTGAGAATTGGGATGGCAAGTTACAGAGTGCACAGCCTCCACAAGTTATTGAGGTTTTGCTATCAGTGCCGGTGGAAAAGGGGGATGAACTATAGGCTTTGGGGAGGTGAGAATGGATTTTGTTATCTGCATACTGATGCATGTGTAAGCAATTAGAAAAATAAGTACAGGATAAATGTAAATTGGGAAAAAAAAATGCTGCCCTTTGGAGTCAAACTGCTAGATAGTGGTAAAAAAATTATATCAAGCTCCTGTACTGCTGCCAGGGCCAACTAAGGTTATTCAGTGTAAACAATACAGAATTCCAGGTGGATATAAGGAAATATCTAAAACAGTAAAAAAAATTATCTTAGTGCTGGAGTGATGATTCCCATAATCACTAAAAGGAATTATCTAATTTGGCATGTTAAGAAATCAGATGAAACCTGAAAAATGACTGTGGATTACAGGGAATTAAACAAAGTTACTCTCCCATTGACTGCTACAGTCCCAGATACCATCATTTTAATGTAAAAGGTCACAAACATAAAAGCGTGTTCTTGATAAGAAAAATTAAAAAAAAAGATACTTTTAAAAAAAATATGATTTGTAAAAATTGTTTATCTTAATGGCTGGTTTATACTGGAATGAAAAAAAGGGGGGGGGAAAGAGAAAGGTTTGAGCAAGTTACAGAAGGTGTGAAAAAGTCGCAAAATGTTATGGAAAAAAGAAATCTGGTTATTTTCTTTGACATAAAATCAAAATCTGATCCTCTGTTAAAGCAATGAGTTAAAGTAATCTATTATGTTCTCTTGATGTCTCTGTTAAATTCTAACTGCTTAAAAACAGCTGTAAAAAGAGCAGTGGTGAAATGGAGGGATCCTATCACCAGTCAATGGAATGGACCTGATCCAGTACTGGTATGGGACAAGGGCTCCTAAGGGATGGGTTTTTCCATGTAACCAACATGCCTTTCTGCAATTGCTCCCTGGGCCGTGTGGCCCTGATGCTAACATCTGTATTTACAGCAGCGGATAGAGCACGTCAGTGGCGTGCTTTACCTGAAGACTACAATAACAATCATCCTAATAGGAGAGGACACTGCCCTTACCATGACTGCATCAGTAGTAAGTGTTCCTGGACTGGCTTTTGGAAATAATCGTGGACTATAAAGGCTTACATGTTTGGTGACCAAAGCAATCAATCTTACTGCTACTGTGCTATCCAATATAGCCAAAGAATTGAATCAAGTTCACTCAGGAGTGCTTTTAAGCCATGCAGCTAACAATTACTTGCTGTTAAAAAGATCATTTAAGTTGTAAACCTGCACCTGGGGGATATTGCTTTAACATTACTAACAATGTGCCATATACAGAGTCTGTTATTGATAAACTTAAGAGTAAAATGCAACATATGTTTATTACTAACCCACTATTCATTTAAAGGGTTTCAATGGAGTCATTGGTTATTAATGTTGGCTGGACTGCTACTGCTTTTCCCACTTTGTATGGGATGTCTTCCGTGTGTTCTGCATTTTATGCTGACTTCCCTATAGTATAAATGGACTGAGATTCATCATTTAAAACTTCGTACCAAACCTCCTTTGTAATCAAAATAATTGATATTTGGCTGTATGTTTCATCTCTCACCTAATGTTGGGCTGGAATGGTACTCAAAGACGGGTAAGACGCTCAGCATCCTGTACCAACCTAAGACAGGGCTCTAGGCCAAGCTGCCAGAGTTACCGATGACGGGTAAGGACAGAGATGACTGAGGGCAACCTAAGACAGAGGCCATTCTCAATTTAATAAAAAAAGGGGAAAATGTGGGGACCCATGGCTGGCCATGGGCCCACATGCTAAGGCCTGGCTTGCTGATCATTGGCATTAGTCCTCACGCAACAGTATCAAGCCCTGGCCACCAGTGACCGTATTAAAACCCCTCATTAACGGCACACAATTTTAGGATTAAAATTAGTTCAAAGAGAAAATGGGGGAATGAAAGGAGCCAAGAGCCACCATAAAAAAAATGGGGCTCCTGAGACAAACCGTTCCAGAGACGGCCTTGGGAAATGGGGAGTAAACCGGTTCACAGAGAAAGCAGTCAGCTACTAACCAGAGATACACAGAACACCTGCCTTGTAGATAAGCCCCTTCCCTACGCTTGCTCAAGGTTAACTAAGAAAGCTGCAAGGCATGTAGCAACCTATTCCTCTCTCCTAGAGACCCCCTCCCCTAATGTATCCCTTTGACCTAGTACTTTTCCACCGACATTACCACTTTTAGACTGCCATACAAGGCCTGCTACTGAAAATTATCCAATAAACTTACGCCAGCCTATAATATGTTAATTTTGTGGTTTTGCCCCTTAAAAGCTGTGTGAGATAGCTGCTCGGGGCTCCTCTCGCTTGCTTGCTGCTTGCAGCAGTAGAGGGCCCATTTGTACAAATGAAATAAATTACCTCCTGTTCTATTGCATCGTCTGGTCCGGAGTCTGTGTTTCTGGGGTCGTCACAAGAG